AACACTATACCTCTAATGTACTCCAGATGATCTAACTATTTATAACTCTACCACATGCATCTCTTCCGTTAATGTGTCCTTCCTTGCATTTATATGTGCTTTTGGTCTCTACAAGACCTTTTGCCTGTTTTTTCTTTGCTTTTAAAAGAGGTGGTGTTACTTTACACTTTCCCTGTTAGTTGCGTGCCATGACTGAGTCTGAGTGTGTGTGTGTGTGTGTGTATGTGTGTGTGTGTGTGTGTGTGTGTGTGTGTGTGTGTGTGTGTGTGTGTGTGTGTGTGTGTGTGTGTGTGTGTGAGAAAGAGACATGGGAAGTTGGAAAGTTAAGCAGCCAGGGGAAGAGAATTATGAGGCATTTCGGCCTGTTTTACAGGATCTTTAAAATAACATGCAACTGGTTCACGTGACACCAAACGCCAGGCTTATAAAATCACACAACCAACACCTTCTGAGAACGAGGAAAAGGAGACAGACAGAAAAGCAAACATCATGTTCTAATATTAAACTGCCAAGTAAAGAAACCCCCTAAAACATACTGGTTTAGAGGACAAATGGCTTACAAAATGCAGGCCAGCGATAATCACTGCATCAGCAGGACTTTGTTTTCTTGCAGTCCCAGCATCTTTCTTTTCGTCTCAACTTCCATTTCTTCCTTTAAACTCACACTTTCTGGCACAGCACACAGATACTTTTGGCACACATTATTGGGTAAATAGGCAAGCATGATGAGTGTTTTTGTATTTGTGTGTGGAGGTAAACACAAAGCGTAAACAAGAGAAGGAGTTTGAAAAGGAGGAGGAAATGAGGGTGGGGAATTATTAAACAGAGCAGAGGAGATTATGTGACAGATAAGAGGAGAACATATAATGAAGAGCTAGGGAGATTTGGGATGGGAAAAAGGGAGAAACTAAGAGGTGGAGCGACAGAAACAGACCACCTCAAAGTAATGAGAGAAGTACGGGGGACGGAGAAATGAAGAAGGTGGAGGAAGAAAGAAAGAGAGAGAGAGACCACCCCACAGTGAACACCAGAGCGAAGGCTGCACATTTCAACGGCTATTTCTCTCCCAGCGCAGCTCCCCTTAGACCAACACTGAGGCTGGACTGAGTCTTACTGCCAAGCCATCCCTCACACTACCCTTGTGAGTGTGTGTGTGTGTGTGTGTGTGTGTGTGTGTGTGTGTGTGTGTGTGTGTGTGTGTGTGTGTGTGTGTGTGTGTGTGGGGGTGGGTGGTTGGGTGTGTGTCAGATCTCTGTGCAGCCTCCAAAGACTGTGGATGTCACTATGATGTGACCCATTTGTTTATGTACCAACGTTTTATAAACTTGCCTAATGTCTCGGCTGTCGCTACACAAGAGAGAAGCTAGGAACAATTTGGGGGAATAATTTTTTTTTCATGAACTTTAAACACACTGTGAAAGGGTTGAAGACTAGACAAAACAGTGGTAGCAAACTGTCAATCACATGCTTGAAGGCAAAAACTGCTATCATATATTTTGCACTAAATTGAATAATTAAAAAGAAACATCATGATGTATTGATAAACTAGAGTTATAAATCAGATGAGAAGTAGGCACATTTTCTGATTTCCTTCAATACAATCAGAATTCTTTTTGCAAACAAAGATTATCCCCTGCTGGACATTTTTATTTATTTATTCAAGTTAAATGAGAATTCGCATAGGCTTCACTTTTCAGACCCGGAGGTGCCGACTGGCAGAGTCAGGACAATTCTCTCTTCTTTTAACACAACAAGGAAACATACATTTCCCCATTGACAGCCACACTCCTATCATTGTGAATGGACCTCCTATGTTCAGTCAAACAATGGTCTCTCTCTGTGGAAAAAACACAGTGTGTTGTGTGTGACCTCAGGGTTTCCCATGCTGATAGTCCATAGATGCGTGCATGATAAGAGACCACTGTGATTTCATAAGGTAAACATGGAGAAAACCTTTCAATCTCCATCAATAGACCCCCTAAAGTTCCCCATTTAAAGCCAGAAGTAGAAAACTCAAATCCAATAAAGGAACTTTGTATAAGGCGAGGTAAATTAAGTTAGGAGAAAGAGCCCATGTGTTTGAATGAACCGTGCCGTGTCTTTGATAAAGCGCATATGTTTATGTTAGTAAAACGGGGTCACTGTGATATTGTCTGGTATGTGGAGGGTTATAAGACGCTTGCGCTTAACTCAATCTGGAAGATAAACAGCCTCGGGCAGGAGCGCTGAGAGGATTCCTATAAGTTATTCCCTCCTTCCTGCTCCCATTTCTCCGAGTTCGCTTCTTCTTTTTCTCACTTGTACGTTCTTTTCGGAGCTTGGTCATGTTTCCTTCCTATCTCACAATCCATTCCCCTTCTCCCTGTACTCCTCTGTCCATCCATCTGATAGGTATTAGTGAACTGAGTGGCTGCTTTGTGGAGGTAAATGTGGTGGCTCGTGGTCCAGCTGGGGGTCGCTGTAGACTGGGTAGGGGGTCACTTTGAGAGGTCAGAGGTCGGGAGTGATGGGTGAAGTTGGCACCGTCCTCAGGGAATGTGTGAGAGCTCATTATGTTACTGCGCTGCTCTGCCCCGACTTCCTTTCTGTCATTCCTGTCACTCTATTACTTCCTGCTTATTTTAACATTGCCCCTAACTCTTAAAAACAAGGCTATCTCTTTCAAAGTGTTAAATACTCTGCTGAGTTCTCCCCATATTACTTCTCTATTGATATCTTATATTTAAAAGAAGTACTATGTTGCTGAGAACCTCCAGCCACCCCCAGTAAATCAAGCATTTGGCTGGTTTGTGATTGTTTTGGGATGATGTTTGGCTATTTGTGCTAGTTGATACATTATTGAATTCACTAACTCCAAAAAATCCCCAAACTTTTTTATATGTTTCTGGATTTATTTCTTCTCTATGCAATACACCATATTGATAAGGTGCCCCTTGAAACCAATGAATTCATATTCAATACCGTGTGCATTATAAACAAACATACAGAAAACGCTTGGAAAAGGAGAAATCAACCTTGTATGACCATTAAATATGCTCAAAAGTTCTGCTGTATGCCAAAAACAAATGAGTATCTGTGCTGTATCTTCACCAAGTTTGCTGTCATGGATGACTTAAGATGGAGATGCTGCAGTGATATGCAAAGCACTATTTTATTGTATTTCAGAAAATTGGGATTATGATTAAACAACAGCAGAACACAAATAAAAGACTAACGCTCAAATACAAAGACACATTATACACTTGCAAATACACACACTAACAGCTTTAGGTTGAGATGAAACACAGATAATTAGCTCTAATGGAAACCAGACTTGCAAATATAGTCTCTTTTTCCTGTGTGTGTGTGTGTGTGTGTGTGTGTGTGTGTGTGTGTGTGTGTGTGTGTGTGTGTGTTTTGAAGCCTCAGAGGTGACATTCCTCTTTGTCAGAGCAACAGCCTCAAGTTTAAGATAACACGGCCACGGTGATCTAAGGGTGGGAATCGATTCCCCCCCGATTGCAGGCGAGGACCTCGGGTCAGAGCTGATGGTTTTACCTTCCGCACGCAACCCGTGAAGCAAAAACACAGTAATTCTTCCAAAATCATCCCTCAACAGCCCTATGGAGAGATATGGAACGCACTATGATAAAGAGTGTGTCGGTTTCTTTTATCTATGAAAGCACAACGTGTAGTAGCCCATTCCTTTGGGACTTTACAGTATTTCACTGTGCCATCTTTGAGCTTTTTCTACGTGACATTTAAAAACATTCATGGGATGGGAACCTTTGGCTTAAAGGAATAAAAAAACGTTTTTCACGCAATGCCTTCATGTGAACTAAGTATCCAAAAACCTAGAAAAAATCTTGAATTTAAGATAATGGGCAAAATGTAACAACAGCAAACTAGATTAACTTTATTCTATAACACAAGCTGTGTGAGTAGTTATAGACAATGTATATATATCGTTTTGCTGTTGTTAAACATGGCCACCATAAACTTCAATTCATCAAGACTTTTCTCTGCTTTTTGTTTCATAGTTCATGGTAACACAGGGTAACAAGTAACTGATATACAAAGGGTTGTTTTGGGTGCCTGTATTCATTTAGCGCCCCTTTAAGTCCAGAAAATACACATATTTATATTTATACTTTTGGCAAGTGTTCAATAGCTAAGAGTCCAAGCTTTTCAGATTTTGCTCATGGAGACCTTTTTTTCTGCAGTTCGATATGTGTTGCTCCTCAGCCTCTAATGTCTACATAAACCTCAATTTTCAAAAAAAATAAAAACTCTAATTACTAATGTTTCAGGTTTGGTGTTTCAGTAGAAAATGTATTTTGTAACACAACCTGATCACATATGATTTCAATGCAATTTGTTATGAAACGTTAAAACAGAAGAAATAGAAAGTGAACATTGAACATTTGTATAATTTAGAATATTTAGAAAGAACCTTATAACATAGGACCGCTTTGAGTTTAACATCACAAGTGCCTGCTAAAATGTATTTGTTTTTGCATTGTACTACTATCACAGGCTATTCATTTTTGCTTTATGACCCGTATCCAACCCTTTTATCAGTGAGCTCTTGGGGTAGCTACTGCTGCACCTGCAGAGACTCCCATGCTGACCTGTGGCTCAGAGGACATCTGGGAATATGGTGCATGCGTCCCACAGCTCCACATTCACACTGTTCAAACAGACCACCAGCTAATTATGGCTTCCCCAGATCCCTGAGCTCAAGAAATCACTACAGAATAAGCCCCGGGTATGAGATGTTTTCTTTTGCCCCCTCCACTGTGGTTCAGTTAACAGGGGATTCAGCAACAACCAATGAAAACAAACTCTCTGCATAGGCTCAAAGTGCTGAGACTATGGGACATGAGTTAGTTTTCAAAAATGTCAGGTATTTAATTATGTGTGTCGAACAACCTCCCTCGGTTTATTATTTTTGTGATTAAGCTTAAGTTAAACTCTACGATTCATATACAGACAATTGAGAGGTAAGAATGATACTTTCATTTTTTTTATTCAAGATATTAGCAAATATTTACAACACTCAAAATGCGCAGATTTCTGATCCATTCAGCATTCTGGGATATCCCAAAAATAAATAACTTTTATTTGAGTGGAAGAAAAAGGAATGTCGAGCCTCTGTAGAAAAATAAATACAGAGTACTTCAATTGCTGTGAAACACTGTCACAGGGAATGAATTGTCATTTTTCTCTCATGTTTCAAAACAGAGTGGCTCCTCAGAAATCACTTTCTGTTTTTACAACATTCATTGTCGCAGTGGTCTTTCTTTCTTCATATTCGTCCTGTCTGTCCTAAGTGTTCCCTTGCAAACATTACAGTCCTTGCAGCAGGGAATATGAAAAGCCCACTCTCCTCCGAGGCCCACAGCGCCCGTCATCTGTGTTCAGCCTGTTTCAGTCTATCTGAAGGGTCGGCCTGATCCACTGGTTCTGCACTCTGGATATTCTGTAAAAGAAACATTATTTAGATTAATAAAACATCCAACACAGAAAAATTGCATGAACTGTAATGCATTTGAAGATAAAACTTGCAGCAGTAAACTGGTTGTGGCCTTTGAGGTATGCATGTAAACATTTTCTGGGTTAAAAAAAAGCACATTTCCCATCTTTTCTACTACTACAAGTAGTAGCCAAGTTCCAAATAGATTGTGCAATCTTGAGGCTGTCTTACAAATAATGTGAACACTATTTATCACAGTCTTCAGGGAAGTGTTTTAGGGGGATTCCATGCAAACATTGGAGCAATAGAATCCCTGGAAGGACATTCAAATCATATTACTTTAAGATTGGTCATGCGTAAAATACGCATTGGAACATTTTGGCACAGTTTGTCTCCCTGCAGGATGAACAGTTGAAGTCGCTCATCTTACCGTGCTGTACCATCCACAGCAGCCCTGCTAGTGGGACGTCGTAGTAGTGGTAGTAGTAGACAAGGACCACGAGCCCCCCATTCTCCAGACCGAGAACGCGTAGCTCAGGCGCTCGTGCGCCACGTAGCTGCAGCTGGTCGCTCGCGCGTCCAACTCGTCGCTCTGCAGAACTTGGCACAGGAAGTCGATGTACCGGGACGCCAGTTTTAGTGTCTGGATCTTGCTGAGTTTGTCTGACGGGAGGGTTGGAACGATCTTACGCAACGACGTGAACGCCTCGTTCAAGGACTGCGTTCGTTGGCGCTCGCGGATGTTGGCCACCACGCGCTGTGTGTGTAGGTCATCGAAGGAGGGCTCGGGGCTGCTGCTGCTGGCCTCGCTGTCGCCGCTCCCCGCGCTGCCGCCTCCTCCTTCGCAGCTCTTTCTGCATTTCTTCTTCCCGGTCTCCATGCTCGGACTCTCCAAGTCTTCCTCCTCTTCAACCTTGTCATCTGCGCGCCTCCGTGTTGCTCGCCGCTTCCTCGCGCCTCTCCTGGGCAGCTCACGGTCGGTCTCCTCCTCGCTGTTTCCCGCACTGTCCATTGGAGAGGAGTCCTCTTCCCGCATCGTCTCTTCCAAAACGTGTATATGGTCTGTGGGAGCGTAATAACCCCTGAGCCAAATTCAGGAAACTGGCTACAACATCAACAAACACGACAGGTAATAAGAAGTGTGGCCTGAAAGGGGGGCTGGTATTACGGTAAATCTCGTGCGCCAAAGAGAGGCAGAGGTGTCTGCCAGACTGGGAGGACCGGGGTTCTTATAGAGGGGAGAGGGCAGGAGGATTTTGGGGAGTGCTGTGATTGGGTGAGGAGGGGTGTAACCCAATACTGCAGGGGAAGGCGAGTTCTAGCTATAATATCAGAAGTGCTGTTTAAGACTCCTTGAGGCTCCCTTACACAAGATTGCGAAAGAGGGTGTGGGGCGAAGTGTTGTTGAATCATATGTGTAGATTTGTGCAAGGGAAGCAGAAACTTTTCCTGTTTTAGGGGATTCAATATTTCTCCATTCTCTATGCCTGTTTACTTCTGCCTCTAATACATTGTTCCTTTTCCTTAAACTGTTGCATGTTGGCCTGTAGTGTAAATTAAACAGAACAATAGTTTTTTTAAGGAAATTAATGGGTTGATCTAGCCGTATCTTAACTGGAGCTGTTTAACATCTTGCAATAGCTGAATAATACGTATTTGTATAGAAAATCCCCTCTATGCCATTTGGACAGTTTGTTATAAACAAATAGTATAAAGTAGGTATTTTTGCAGCACCATCAACTTTTAACACATCTAAGTATGTTAGTAAGGCCTATTAACTAATATTAATGAATATTTATTTTTGAATACCTTGATGCCTTTCTTGTTTTAATACTATGTTTCAAGTTATTTTTAACAGTTGCCATGCCTCTTTATAGGTTGACTGGCATTTATTTCTTATTACAAATACATTTAGTCTGTTCGGCTTTTAAGTCTCCCTGCACAGGTCTAGACACTGAGTTGGGAGCAGTGGTGGCGGTGAAAAAATATCAGACCTACTGAAACACAGGAGGTTGTCACAGTAGGAGGGCCCAGCTCGTAAGCAGAGCGAGGTGTTTATTTTCCCGTCAGCAGCCCCGCGTTGAGGTATGCGCTGAAATGGGTCTGACTCCCGCAGGGATCTGGACACCGAAGCTCAGGTTTAAAAGACGGGCCGACCCAGGGAGCTCTCAGGGCGGATCCGAGCTCACAGCGGGGTCGCTGAAGGCGGTGTACGGCTGGAGAGCAATGCAAACACCGGAGGTGATGAGAGAGACAGAGAGAGAGAGAGAAAGAGAGAGAGAGAGAGAGAGAGAGAGAGAGAGAGAGAGAGAGCAAAAAGTTTAAACACGCACACATGACCACCCAGCTGTGGGGCCTGCCACGCTACAATATCAAAAACCAGCCTCTAGATGTGGCTGAAACTAAATCTGGTAACTTTTGGAGGTGGTCTGTGGTGTTAATCATCCACAGGGAGGCCTCAGCTCTGATGAGGGAGGAGGAGGTTCACAGCAGGCCAGGTCTGGTCCCTTTAGAAGACCAGCCACAAGCGCCTGTCGGGCCTGGATCTCCCTGCAATGACTCAATTTACACCTCAGTGATAAAGATAACACCCATCGTCACGCAGTGAGACTTGACTTTGCGATTCAAATCCAAGTAATCTTTGCTCATTTGCACGTGACACGGTTGATAATGTTTAAGACCCAGTAAATCTTGTTTTTGTTGTGATTTTCTTCTGAGCAAATCTTTAAGCTTAATCTCAACCACACCTGTCCCATCGGGACAAGGACAGGTGAGGCTGTGTCGCTCTCCAAGGTGCTGAAATAAATAACACACCTGAAGCGTTTAACCTTACATCTTAAATGTGCTGCCAACTTTTATTGGCACACTTTTTTATTACTGTGTAAGATATACACTTTTTCAAATTTTGGAAGCAGGCTTAATTCTAGACAATAAACGTGAATTACATTATAATAGGCTACATTAGAGTTTAAACACAATTAAGTTGTTTTCTTAATGTTGCAGAGCAAAGAACACCGAAGCTATACGAGCATTTTGATTTATTTTTAAGCAGCAAAAAGTCACTCACATATATTAGGCTTAGTGAAATATTTGGAATTAATCCTCTTAGGTTGTGCTGGTTGTATAATTCTTGTCCTTGAAAAAAAAAAAAAAAGTCACCGATAAACGTTTTTGACATAAGGGATATTTCTGAGACGTTGTAAATAAGAAAGAATGCCTCGTTTTTAAATATGTATTTGTCGTATCTTGTATAGTTTGAATAAAGCTGAAACGAATGCACATTAAGATCAGTTCTCCACCATTTCCGTATTATAATGAATCCAATCTCCAGGGGAAAAAGTTAATATTGGACGCTTCAGGTGTTCTCCAGCAAGTCCGTCATGAAGGAGATGTAGACGATGGCCAGCCGGAGTGTGTCTATACGGGACAGTCTTTTCTCGTAAGCGAATGTGGGAACTTTCCTCCTCAGTTCATCAAACGCCTCATTCAGGCTAAACATTCTCTTCCTCTCCCGCACATTGGCCGCCTGCCGCTGGACCACGTTGATGATCCGCCTCCGTTTGGACTTGCTGTGATGGCCGTGCGCGCTGCAGTATCTCAGTTCGTGCTCGTCGTCCTCCATGTCGCTCCAGGGCGAGTCGCTCAGCCGCGTCTGGGTGTCTGGGCTGGATGCGTCATCATCCACCTGCCGTTTGGCCTCCGATGCGAACTTTTGCGGAAACTCCATCATGTTCATGTCACTGACAAAATCTATTAACGTGGAGTCTACTAAGCGGCCCTGCATGTCCACATTCAGTCCCAAACGGCAGACTCAAAGGATATGCAACTTTTATAAGTCTGCTATTCAGTCAAGCATACAAACTGACGCCAATCAAAGGTTGCATGACTCGCTGAAGTCACTCACCAGTCACAGAGATCAAAAGGGGAAAGCATCTCAACAAGTAAATCCAAATTTCTCCAAATCCGGTCGACAGGGTGAGATCCTATTTGGCTCAAGTCCAAGGGTTTTAACCTGCTGTTTTAATAAGTCGCCTATGCCTCCTCACAGCGAGACATCTTTCATATCCCCTCTACCTCTAAATTGAGTCCATTTCTAAAGTATGTCAGCCGGTGACTGGGTTGAATCTGAGGAGAGAGGCTTAAAAAGCTGTGGTCCCTGCCAATTGATGCTCTGTCCTCCTGGAGGCCCTTAATGAGCTTCTGAAGAACGGAGGCTCTTGACAGAGGGTCATACAGTCTTGTTTGCACTCTCCCCTCTGCTTCAGAGGCTAAATAATGACACTTTTATAACTTAAACAGGCCGAGAGAAGACCACATAGAACATTCCCTAACAGTCGCTATACACCACAAGCTTTTCTGTTGCAAATTAAAGCAAATAACTGTCCGTTCCCATGGCAGGACAGAGTCCACACTGCAGGAACTGCTGAGAGAGACATTGCTGTAATGTGGGCTCTTTGCCTCAGTGCAAGGACACTTTTACAAGTCCTGTAATAGTGAGACCAAAACTTTGTAATATTGTTGTTGTTAACAAAGATAGTGACCTGAATAGGAATAAGCTTTCTACTACAAATAATAAGGCTTCACTGAGACAACCTCTATGAACCCAGTCACCCATTGTTCATAATTTTCTGAAAGCCAATAATGACAAAAAAGTATACACAGTTAAATTATTATTTTTTTGGGGTGGGAATAATACAAGCATCTATCTCAGTTCTTATGATGAGTATCGTTTTGCTTAGCTGACCTACAGGAGGACATTTACAAAAATCGCACAAGACTTGCCAACTGCTATTTCATTCTTGTTTTACCCAATAAAGTTTTTCGAGTATTTAATTTAATTTGACTCGAATCAGACAGTTTGACTGAGAACACAAACAGTGATTGGCCTAATAACTGAAAAGGCAGGAAGTAAGGTTGCATTTCAAACATAAACACAGGTTCTGTTAGGAACAAAAACAGTCTGCAGACTTTTAGTCTCTTGGGGTTAAATAACTGACTCAAGGGCAAATCAACTATTGTGGTTTAAGGAGGAGACACTGAGCTGTTCTGAAGGTTTATGAATTCAGCCAGTGTAGTGCTGGTGGTTTAAAGCCCACTCATGATGACAAGTTGTTCCTGAGACATGCAATGTTCAAACGTTCAGTAACTGGCTAACTCATCATATTATTGCTGAATTATGATAAGTTCTCTTTGGCCGTTTCTGGGAAGTCAGGGGTTTTGGTCCATCACCTGTGGAGCTTGACAGAGATTTGCATTGTAGCTGAAGATGCCATTTATTAATGCAGTTGGTTGCCAGGTCCCTGCAACCAACATGTGATTTGTTTTTATTTGAGTGGTGGTCTTGTGCTGTTGTTAGGTTTAAGAAGTCGTATTGAGTACTGTTTGTTGCTTTTGTGATGTAAGGTCACTTTCCAACCATTAACAGCAAGTTTGGTCACTCTCTAATCAGCCATACTTTATATTTAACAGGGTTAAAAAATGAATAAATGCTTCATGATCCATTATAACATAGTTGCAGACAAAAAAGTAATTTGTTAATTACTAAAAAATATTAGCTGGTTGCGGTTTGTTAACAAAGCATTAAGAGAGTCTACAGGCTTACTGAGGGTTACAGCAAACTACAAATTCATTTTTCCTATTGGGGGTCTTGCCTTGCTATTTTATTGTTTGGAGCTGGGCGAGCTTACTTTTGGATGCCTTGTTTACAATCTGGCGAGCGCTTGCTAAGTTTTCATAGAAGTTCAGAAACGTGAAAATAAAGCAGAGGGCTCTGCAGATAAATACTACACCAAACTTCCAGTAGGTCATTAGTCATTAAAGGGATTATTTTTTGAGTCCATGAATTGCTCTATAGGGAAAATCCTACTCATTATGCCTTTCAATTAGTTGCATTCATAAGTGTATGTCTTAATGAGTTTTAAATACATGATCTAAACAATGTAAATCGTAAAAATGGCTTAATCAGGAAGAAAAGTAATATTTATTTGGGAAGACTAGCACATTGATGCATGCACAAAAGAGAGACACTACTAAATAAAACAGACTTTTACCTTAATTACAATTTTGGATTTGTCTACGTTTGAAAATTCATGTAAACATTTGGGACACTGATCACACCTAAACAACAAATTAAATATAGGACTAGTGGTTTTTAAACATTATAATGAGATGTTACATGTTATATCTTTAATTAAGTTTAATTTGAAATATTTTCTTAAAAAGGCTGCAGTTCAAATTAATTTGGCATGTATGGATCCTCTCAGTAACATGTTGTTCACATGTTGTCTCATTAGTGACAGTAACTTTGTGTTTTATGCGTTCCTGTGTGATTATTATACACAAGAGTGTGAGCGCACCAGTGTCTTTGTATATACTCTACCTCAGTGTATCTTCTCCATCTCTCTCCGCTCTCTGTTTTCCCGACTGGCAGATAAACATGATGGGACATTCCGCCGGTCGCCGTGGAAACGCTGAGAAAGCACAGCTGGACGGGAGAATATGAGGTAATCTCACCCTGGGGCTACTGGGTAAATATTGGTCTTAAATAAGGAGTAAAACCCCAAAAGAGGCACACATGCACACACACACACACACACACACACACACACACACACACACACACACACACACACACACACACACACACACACACACACACACACACACACACCTACAGGGGTTTATCCCCAGTTGAAAACACAGGACAGACCTTCACACAGAGACTCATAATAGCCCATTTCCTGCTCTGCTCTGTTATTATTGTTTACACTGAGAGGGAAATTAATGATAGTTTGTGGTAAGTATATGTGAAAGTAAACAGGTTTGACGGAAATAACCTCAGTTTAAAGAGGAAATATCATCAAGAAGCCTGGATGTTCAATTCAGTTAAAGTTGTGGTAAGCAGCTTTTGGGAAATTAGCATGAGTAAGCTAGATTCTGAAAGTATACACATGGAAAACCCCACTCGCTTCAGGCTTTGCTCTAAAGCCACTGCTCCAAAACATTGGGAAGCGTTGGGAAGATAAGTGCAGCACATCCTTGTCATCACTGACCATACTTTTCTACATCATGTCTCTGGAACAAGCAAGAAAACAACTCTGTATAGGGACATTTAGTCTGGATAATCTTTGGTCACGAACAATGAGTTTCACTATATATGTATGATTGCAGGTAAATGGGCTATATGTAGAACATAACAAAAAATGCTTCTAAAAACTAATTCCCTACCCTTGCCTTAAATTGATATAAACATAGCATGAAGAGTAAGGACATTTGAGTTTGGGAGATTACTGTACTATAGATTTGCAGTCAAGGTTTGCAGGACGATATGGCCGACGGCTCTCTGCCCAGACAATCCAGAACAAACTGCACGCAACCAATCTCATCTCATAGGGCTGCCAGGAGGCTGCCATATGCGCTTAAATGAATCAATTGTTAAATTGCCAATATGTCTGTTTAGTCAGACTTCAATCATCCAATCCACCAAACAACACCAAACAAGAGTCAACAGCAAAAAAAAGCTGTTTGGCATTGGCGTAACCCCCAGCTCTGGTTTAAACCTCTGGGGATCATGATTATCTGTATCTAATATCAAGGCATGCCATTCAATAGTTAGATAAGTACTTGCAGATTGTTGATCAAGACAAACAAATGCAATGTAGCACTTCAGTCCATAAATGCATTATTTTACAGCTCATAGCAGAAATACACTCTTGACACTAAACCCCTTGTGGATTTTAGATCAATAAATCATCAGAGTAACATCTTCATAGGCTGCTTGGGAAGAATGGACTTTGAGTGTGGAAAATATGATTTCACTAATTTCACATGATGATTGATTATGGAAAATGGTTTGGATTTTTTTAATATGCAAGTGTTTTGTTTTCATGCTGAAGCAGTAGTCACTTTTTTTGTTGTAAATAAGAGATCTATGGAACAGTAGGCTGTGTGTCTTGCAGTGCGGTGCTCCAGAGCAGCCAGGGCTGTTCTCACCGTGTAAATCTGTCTTCCTCCTCCTGTGTGCACAGCCAAATCTCTCCCACCACCACCACACTGTAAATCTGAAAGTAGACAGTTCTCTTACATACTGTTTCTTTCTCTTTCCTTTACACTGTGTCCTCCTCAGTTTGGTTTTCCTCTCTAAATGAACATACAGTCAATCTATGTTGTGTAAATTCTAAGTGGTGAAAGAAAACTAGTTTGACAAAGGTTTAACCAGAGGCAGGATAAAAAAGCTGTGTGATGATTGCAAATGCAGACTCAAATTACATCATCCAACTTTGGCAGTTCCTTTATCAGGGTCTTTCCAATAAATCACATTTGAACATTTGAGAGAAGAGGAGTCTGTGGGAAGCCGGGGGAGTAAGAGAGATGAGTTTAGCTCCTGACCTATCAGCCTCTTTTTCATTGTGTCACTAGGACTCTTTTTGGCCTTTATTTCCTTCTCTTTCCACCAACACAAATCGGACTCCTTGGTTCACTTGTCCCGCCTTCCTGCCTTCTGATTTGCCCGGCACTTTAGCCAACATCCAGTCACGGTGTGTTTACAGTCACGGGGTGTTTACACGGCCAGCAGGGTTCATGCATGTGTGTAAATTGGATTAATCCCAATACCACATCATATATCTCCTTTCCCCCCCCCCTCCCAATTCCTCCCCTTCCTTCTCCAAACGTAAACCTCCCACTCGCCAAACCGCTGCATGCCCTCAGCTCCTCCTTCCAAATTATTCTCCTCTTAATCCAACATCTCAAACCTCTCAGCTCTCTCTCTCCACTGCCACACTAAACTCCCCCACCCACCCTCACCCATGTCAGCACCTTGGCTCAGCTTACACCCACCCCCCTTCTGCAAGTCTGAGTAATGTCTGTGTTTATTTTCTGAAAGAAGGTCAACCACTCTTTGCTGTGTTTTTTAAGGGTGCCATGTTTCATTTGTTTTAACACTCATATTCTGAGCTGGTGTATGCTGAGAAGACTATAGAGTAAGATGCTAATGGGTGAGGATGATGATGATGATGAAGATGTCGAGAGGTGAATTGCGCCATAGCAATGTGGCACTATAGGTTTGAACATGCCATAAAAAGTGTGTTTGTCACGGTTTGTTCTGGTTTACATCATAATCTATTTAAATCAACATTAAGCAACTATATTACTGTAAAAAGGGGGTGATGCTTTTTTTCTCTACACTGTGCCAGAACTGCTTTGGAACAGAGTCCAGTTGGAAAATATGGACAGCAGCACTGAGGAGAAACGTCACCAATTCTCTCGCTAACAATAAAACAGACTTGTGAATGTCAGATTACTGATCATAGTTCCTGGAAGCAGCCCTGCTTCAGCCGCCCTTCAACTACTCACAACATCCCAACATCCCAACAATGGCATTCAAAAACACAACAAGGTATTTGGGAAAATGGACTTCAGAATAAATAAGTATGCACTTCTATTGGCTATAGCACTCTAAAACATTGTACATATGCTAAGGGTCGGGAAAAGGCCAGCAGATCACACGTAAGAGGTTGACTAATCACAACATAGCCAGCCTGCTAACCAATCAGAGCAGACTGGGCTGGAGGGTGAAAAGAGGTAGTTTGAGTGAAATACATACTTTTTTGAACATTAATTCATGTAAACATGTCACAGTAGAAGCACAAAATGCTAATATGAACCTGAAAATGAGCATAATATATCCCCTTTCAGACAGTTCCTGAGAATAGCCACCATGAGCTTTTACAGTTCAACATTATCCACAAAACAATATCAATAATATTTAATTTGGTTGTTTGTTTGATGACCATTTTATAATGTTTGACATAGTGCAGAAGTGCATCTGTTCTGACATGTAGATGAATTGTTATTTACTATGTGTTGGGGTTTTTTCACCTCTGATACCTTTTCTTTATTAACTTTTGTTTGGACGGAGGAGGGTAAGGTAAACAGTTTTATTCACAACAGCTGGATTACAATTTGATGATTTACATTTTACCAAATCCTTGGGGAATTTTCGGTGAATCATGTTTAGAATGTGTTCTCGCTTCTCTCACACAGCTTCAAAATGAAAGTAAAGCTGTTTTGGAAAACTTCAAAACTTAGTAAAAAACCATCTCAAGTCCATAACGATGCTTATAGTTGTTGGATCATATTGTTGTTTATGATGAACCAGCGGCCGTTTCAATCTTTCAAACGCTCCCGTAAAAGACAATGTTAAATATTAACCCTCTTTTTCTTATTTAATAATGATGACAAAGTTGCTTCTGCACCAGCTCTCCAACCGCATGAGCTTTTCAGATTCTCCATGAGTAAGTGCTGCTGTCTTTGGCATGGACCTCTAAAATCACTTAGGAAAACTGGAAGATCTCAGTGTCTTTGTTTTTATGATCAACACATTTGTCATAATGTAGTCTTCTGTAATTTAAATGATCCTTCTTGCCAGAGACAGCAGATGGTTCACTTATCTTACTTTGTAGGTGTTTTTTCCAGCATTCAGGTCTAACCCACACATCATCAGCAGCTCCACCCAGATTTCATATTTCTTCCTCTATCCCTATATGCCCTCTTTCCTATATCTACGTACAGCTGTGCTCTGTAGTTTGACAAGATTGTCATCAAAATATAATAATAAAATATTTAGTTGTGTCCTGGGTATTCTCATGTAAAGCTATGACTAAACATGAGATCATTATTTCCAGTCATGTACGTTTTTTTCCACTTCTTTTGGCTTATTTATTTTTCTGTGGTTTTGGGAGGTTGTGGCAGAAAGTCTGATGATATGAGTTCGTCTTCTTAACCCTCCCCTCATTACTCCTCTCGAAAGGTAGGGACTGATAAAAGAAAAGGCTTTTTACATTAGCTTGTTGTTCCATAACTGACACTGTTCACTTTTATGCTCATGGGATTTCGCCTCATTCTTTCAATATTAGCTCTGTATCTTTGGATAATGTGACTATCATAATAGCGGCATACAGTTAAGATTTGAAAAAAACATTTACTTTTTATCTTTGGTTCTGCCATATTTCTGCAGTGTTCTTGGGTGTAGGAGTTACAGTTTGGATTGAACACTGTCTAGACGTATGAGCCTCTCATTACCTCCTGATTACACTGAGCCCTATTAATCTCACTGGGCTGGCCGGCAAGGGCATAGCATGCACACACACACACACACACACACACACACACACACACACACACACACACACACACACACACACACACACACACACACACACACACACACACACACACACACACACACACACACACACACACACACATTGCCATAAGCACACGACATTATGAAAGCTTACAACAACTGAAAAGTTATGTTGGAAATTCAGATTGAAATGTTGGTTGTTTAAAAAAATAATCATAATGGAAAAAACAATGTGAATGTGGAAATGTCATGTAATATCCACATGTGATGTATGTTATTGTGTTCAGACAGATTTAATCAGGTTTACCAGAACTGGGACGAATCTGTAAATACAATTCAATTTCAATTTTGGTATTTGTAACACTGATCAACAGAGCAAACAATGAATTCAGCCGGGTTAGTATTTCTAGCCCTATCTTTTCATTCTTTACACAACAAGTGTTTTTAATTTATCATGTGAACAACCAAATGTAACACTATAAATGCCTACCAGCAGACACATACACTGTACTGTAAATACTGTGTCTCTCCACACTATTAGAGACCTGCTCATTTTTACCATTAGACTTTCAGAATGAACAACAATTGTTTTGACCAAAACAAATATCCTGTCTGGAGAAAGAATACGTAAAACTATAGTCATTCAAAACATATATTTTGTATTAACTCAGTCCACTTACTACACTCACAAACAGAGAGGAGGTCAGGTGACCAAATTGTCTTAGTTGAAAGTAACATAATCCTCCGTTATCTGATGTCATTCAATCACTCGTTTCATTTACACGCGTACTGATGACTCCCTGAGGTATCTAAACGATAATAGGCGTTTGGAATTGGACAAACACACAGAGACTCAAACACAATTCCCTTGAGGAAAATAGTGTCACAAAAATTCCCATCCGTCGTCGCCAGGGTTACTGAGGGCAGCACGGTGGGTGTCTGGTGCCAAGGAAACAAACTATGGGAATCCAACTCACCAACCAAAAGTAATGTTTACTTTTGGGGTTAATAGTGTGTGTGCATGTGCTCTTGTATACAACTGTGTGGACACTGACTCTTTGGGAAGGACTTTAATGCGGGGATGCTCAACTGGATTTGCTCCGGGAGACACTTCTTTCAAAATGACAGGAGGTCAGGGGCCAGTTCATAAACAAACATTAATAATATTTATCAGATAAAATGGATTTCAGACTTAGCCTGGACCTCTGTCAGGGGGTCCATAGAATCTTTCCCTGGCACTTTAAAAAAAACAAAAACAAGCTCCATTAGTCTATTCGTGAAACATTGGCACCTCATTAACATTTGACATGAATAATTGTGAATTAAAAATATTGTCAGTTCACCACTCTACCCTCTATCAGAGGACAGATTTGGCCTGAATATTGAGAATCCTTGCTCGAGCCCATCTTACTGTGCTTGGGCTGTTTGCCTACTTGGGAGAGCACAAAAAACCGAGATGCAAAGCAGGAGTGCCAAACAACTCCTAGAAATTCCTTTGAAAATGCCATAAAGGGATTTCATGGATGTCAGTAGGCCTGTGAGAGATGGGCCTTGATGCGAGTCAGCCCTGGCCGGGCCGTGTTGGAGGATATATGGCCACAGTTGCACGGCTCTGACTGGTGGAACACTTAAGGTTTTATGACCTGCTGCCATTTGGGGCTCAGGGACAGAGCAGAGTGCTGACCACATAACTAATTAGGCCCGGCTGACGAGGGTGTGCAAGGATGGGGATTTGTGGATTGTGGGCTGTGGATGTGGTGTCACTTCAAGAGTGAATGAGTGAGTGGGCCAGTGAGTGTATGGCATGGGTTGCTGTGTGTCTATGTGTGTGTTTGTGTGTGATCTGAACCTGGAGCATTGCGTCAGGGAGCTGTTTGTTCTCCATAAAGACCTCAGGGTCTCTTTCATGTATGAACCGCCATGCCTGGAAACTTTGACACAGGAAATAGAGAGACACAGCCAATCTATACACACACACACATCAGAGACCACTCCTTGAGAGGCAACGAGAGGTGTATGAAAAGATGGCCTGCTCAACAAAAACAACACTCCTGCTATTGTCTCATCTCTCTAGCCCTCCCTCTTCTTCTTCTCTCCATTTGAGGATCATGAAGATAAACGACCGTGCGTAGATATGAGAGTCCAGTGGGGGGGGGAGTCATAAGTGGAATGTGTGTGAACTGCACACCGCCTCCTATAAATCAGGGAGACAAGTAGGAGGAAGAGAGAAAGCAGGATAGGAAAAGAGGGGGCAAGGGAGTGATATGGGGAAGGACAAGATAAATGAGTGGTGATGGAGGGAGGGGGTACAGGTGCAAGAGAGGTGCACACGCACTGGGGATGAATTTTGGGGAAAGAGTGATGAAGGAGGGGGGGGGCCTCAGAGGACAATAACAGTGATTGATTTAAACCTTTTTAGCTTAACATTGGACGTTATGTGATTATTTATAGTTGAAATGGTGGAGCTCTGATCATAGACCATTCTTGGAGCGATTGTAATGTGATTAAAAGTACATAAGATTGTCAAAAAAGGCTTGGAGTAAATGTTTCTTCTGCTTAAGTCTCAAATATGGATATCATGAGCCTTTTTCATTTTTTTTATTGAAAGCTCAAAACATATCTCAGTAACACTTTATAAAGGCTCAGGAGTTGGAAACTATGTTTCAATAAATCCTAAATTAGTCAAATACTATTAAGTTTAAAATTCCATGATTAGGAACACGTTTTGGGTTTCTGATTTTCACAAATCCTGTGGTAATAATGCAGATATACATGCTGATCAGAGGTTCAGCATATGGAGAATCATTAGTTTCCTTGTTCTGAGTGAGGTTATCAGTTTGATACAACTGTGACGTTTTAACCATAACATTGTTACCAGACAACCAGCAAAGGCAGGAGATACATTTAGAAGAAAACCATCCATTTAAAAAAGCTGATTGTCGTATTTACAAGAAAGATAACAATTAGATAGCTGTAGACGTTCTTGCAAGGACATTTTTTAAACTTTGGATAGAGTCAAGCTATCAGTGTCCAGTCTTTACAGTTTGCTAAGGTACGTAGATGGCAGCAGCTTCACAATAATGATACAGGAAGTGAAATAAATGTTTTAATCTAACTCGGAGGGGAAAACATGAATACATGTATTCATTTATAAATACTAATGGGTTTCTCACTACTTGTTCAAATCTGCAGGTAAAATGTTGGGACTTTAAAGGCTTGACGTTCACAGATGTTGAAGATCAGGTGTGAAGGATGGAGATTAGTTCAATAGGGCTCCTTATCAGTCCTCTTTAGGCAGCTCCCGATAAGCTCTCCAACTCTTAGCACCTCACAGCTAATGAGACTCCCCACTGAAAGTCAGGCTTGTGTGGTGTGTTTGTGGGGGGTAAAGAAAACACAAAGTTCTTTAGGCTGTCTCTCAGCACTTTATCACTTAACACCCACTGGCTGGCTGGCATAAAAAGAGTTTGTTGTGGAGGGGAAGAGTCATATTAGCCGCGTTCACACCGCAGTACTTTTCCCACTTTAATTCCGATATAGCTCCGAAATGTCGCGTTCACACCAAAAAGAGCCGGAACTCAAATTAGTTCATGAGAACCTTTTTACCCCCTTTTCCGTCCCTGCTAGAGAGCAGGGACTTTCGTAGGAGAAAAAGGTTCCTATTTCTGATTGGCTGGGCAGATTGCAAACCACGCCCCGTAAAACTCAAAAAAAGTTTTGTGAAGCCATCATTTTATTATTCTAGCATTAACATTATTAGCATTAGCATTAGCCCAGCGCAGAAACGCAGAGAGACTAACTTATAGCAACACAAAATAAAACATGGGAGCGGTGGAGATGAGGAGGTGTCGGCGTTCTGGAGATTTCCCAACAGCTTCTACTGAACCAGTCCCCAACTCCGGGGACTTCAACTCCGGGGACTTCGGGTGGCAGTATACGGCGTGAAGTTGTTTGCGGCCTGCCAGTAAACCCAAAGCAGAAGAAGAGACATCAGCGGCTTCATTTGCCTAATCCACCCCCAGGGACTTATTCCGGTGTGAACGCGATCTGTACTTAGTTAATCAGAACTAAAGAGTTCTGATGAACTAAGTTCTCATAAACCTTTGTGGGAAAAGTACTGCAGTGTGAAAGCGCCTATTGGTAACAGTTATCGTGACAGGGATGTACTTTTGTCCCAATCAATGTTTTCTGAATCAAACATTGTGATTGTTAATAAAAAGAAAATGGAAGCAGGGTTAACTTTTCAAAATATAGAACTCTTTAATCAGGATTAGTTATGAATATTTAACATATTTATTTTGGTTTCAGTTACAACAATGACACATTTTTGACTGAACAGTTTTGTTCTTTAAAAAGCGTGAATATTTGAGAGTAAAAAGCTTTGTCCTTAGACCACAGCTGTAATTCAAGACAAACTTTTCAAAAGAGGCACATTAGACAAAAGAAAAGTTGAGTTCCTTAAAATGAGCTCAACAGTCTGAGGAGTTGCTCAGCCCTGCTTCAGTATCCAAGCAGGAGAAATTGTACCAAAGTAACCAATGATATTCATATGTTTGTTCCCTATTTGGCTCTGTAAATCCAATATACAAGGCCTTTTTACTCTCAGATCCCTGTTAAGACAGTGGGAGTTGATGAGGTATCACTCCTGTTGGTGCCAGTGTTGCTGTATGAAGCAGTGTTGCTCCCTCCTCAGGCTGTGTGAGTGAGTTGCAGTCTGATAGAGACAGACCCGTCCTCTAAGCTTTTAAAAATGTTCAACATGTGATTGTAGAATGGCTCCTTTAAGCAAGTTGGTCTGCAATTATTTTTTTATGGAGTTTAAAAGGAACCCACCAGAGATCTTGCATGCTAAAATGGTTGGTCATTCCTTAAGGCACATCTGTATATTCTCCCAGAACCGTTGTTGTCATTAATGTTGTCTGAATTATTACACACAATCGACCTGATTTCCAAACAGTGGAAACATTTTCAGGCAATGTTGCTTTTTCTCTTCTTCTTGGATTTGGGTGCTTCTTCACTTAAGCTGGATGGGACACCTGTGTCAGTTTCAAGTTTCCTCTTCTTGCTCTGCTTGTCACTAAGGTAACCGCTCGAGTCACTGCCGTTGACCTCCATGCGAGAGAGCTCAACCTCCACCTCCTCTTCTTTCAAATGTTTTTTCTTTTTCTTCTTCTTTTTCTCACCAGCTTTATTGCCATTTTCTTCAATCATTGTTCCGTTCAGCTCTGCTGTTGTGTCTTGGCAGGAGGGTGTGGTCATCTCCTCTTCTTTGACTTTGACCTTTTTCTTCTTCTTCTTTTTCGGGGTGTCTTCAGGAGACTCCTCCATGGGTTCTGGTTCAGGTTCAGGTTCTGGCTGGTCTGCAGGGACGCCGGACTCTGAACTCTCAGCCATAGCCAGCAGCTCTTGAACCCTGAAACACAGTCAATCAATCAAGAGTTTAATTACACCTTTCTAAAGCACTTTACAACCAGTTAAAAGAAAAAGAACAATGTTAGTATTTAGTAGGCGCAGCGAAAAATTTACGTGGGTAGTAAAAAAAAAGACGCATCCCCACCAGCATTAAAAAAAAACTGATTTTATAACATTGCAACTTAAATATCTTTTATCGCTTGAAGACATCACTGTGGACCCTAGAATCCAAATGGATGTGGAAGACTTATTATGATCATGTACCTCTTTTGACAGTCTTTGTTCCTCAACCACTTCTTCGCTGTTACACGTGAGGATGACAAGCAGCAAACTTTCGACTCATGATACTGACAGGAGTAGCAGTCAAGTACTTTTCCCTTTTAGATCCTGGGATTTTGCGTTCACACCAAAAAGAGAACTTAGTTCATGAGAACTTTTCATCCCTTTTCAGTCCTTGCTAGAGAGCAGGTACTTTCCTGGGGAGAAAAAAAGTTCCCATTTCTGATTGGCTGGGCGAATTGCAAACCACGCCCCGTAAAACTCGGAAAGGTTTTGTGAAGCCGCCATTATATTTGCTGGCATTAGCCGAGCGCACCAACGGAGAGAGACTAACTCATGGCAATACAAAAAAAAACATGGGGAGGGAGTGATGAGGAGGTGTCGGCGTTCTGGCGATTTACTCGAAAGTGCAACATGCACCCATACGCCGCAGATCATCGTGTTGAAGAAAAGAAGCCGCCTTGAGATGTGAATAGCTCAATAACTGCAGACTATCATTATGATGACAACGTATGCTTCGTCTCGTGTTGGCAGATATTGTAAATAAAACTAAAGTTAGCTCGACTTTGGATAAGCTACATTAAAGGTGGGGGAGGTAAGTTTGAGAAACCGGCTCGAGATACACTTTTTGTTATATTCCATGGAATGCTCTTAACATCCCGATAGCAATGAATATCTGAAGTGCTTTGCCAAAAAATCCATAAAAGTGTCATCTCTGGAAGCCGTAGTACTGTAAAAAGCACAACCAATTATTTTAGCCGGCCTGGCTAAAATAACTGGATGGCCTACCTGCCTGTCAGCCTTCCATCTGCGCACAAACTTATCTCGTGCCCTCATTGGTCATGTGCGCGTTCGTGTGTTGGAGGAGGGCTCTGTAAGGAAGCGGCAGATTTTTTCAAATTCTAGCGCACTCGAGCTGGTTTCTCCAAGATTACCTACCCCACCTTTACTGTATCTCAATCTGCCAAAAACTTGAATGAAATGAAATGTTATATTGTTAGTGTGAATGAAATGCGTGTCTGAGATTTCTTCATATGTAGAATTGAGCAAATTAGGTTTGCAGCTATTTATCAAAAGAGAACCCTGATTAGTTTTCTTCCACTGTAACAGCCGCCTCTGCACTCTTACCTGGTCCTGTTCAGTCGTCCTCTGATCAGCAGCACCCCCATCATGTCAGCGTCGAGTGCGGTCACTTCAAACTCCAGCTCTGCTCCGATTCTCGGTCCTGCGTCCCGCCACGTCTCCACGGAAACCAGGTTAGGTCTGGGGATGCTGGCGTTAAAGCAGCCATGCACAAGGCAGCCCACATGGCTTACTCCTAGCTTGTTGACTTTACCCTGGGAAGAGAAACACAGTAGGAATTAAATGACATGCAACAAATGTGGCCAGAGGTAAAGTTCTGCTTGGGGTTGGTAGATTGTCTGCCATATTGTTTAGTTTTTCCAGATTAATGCAATAATAATAATAATAATAATAATAATAATATGTTCCCCCAAAGCAAGTACATCAAACCTTTTTGTTATATAGTCCCCTGAATATTTAAACTAACCAATGGACTGCCCTGTTTATACATTTTCTTAACACAGAGATTGTAAGAATGTGTCCACATGCCAAAACTGAGGATCACTGGAAGATACTGTGAATAAAAAACATCTGCATAGAGCAGTACATGTCAATCTTACCAGCAGTGTTTGTCCTCTTTCGGGCTGAAAGAGAATAAAGTTGGCCTCTATGTTCATGTGGATATAGCCGCTGTCATCGTAGATGCTTCCATGATGTCCCAATATGCTGATGTTCTCATAAGCCAGGGGGACTCCCTCCAGACTGCACAGGTAAAACAAGACAAGCTGAATTAGTTCATACACAAAAATACATTATGAACTTGATTGTTAGACTGAACAGGTGTGACAGTGTTCAAGATGTCCCCTTTCACTTATACACACAGTTGAATAATCAATATGTCTGATGTGTGTGTGTTTGTCTTTAAGTTAATACAACCAAAATCTTGTAAAATGATGTGAGAAGGACTGCAACCCACCAGACTACTCTATTTATTTACAGTCATGCTGAGATCCTGGATTTGTTTGTGGAAAGTAAGCAACTCAATTTAACTTTCCACTATTTTACATTAAATGGGCAGCTTTAGTAACTAGTTTTGTTGGAGATCAATGTTTACACACAAAAGGTGAAGCATTGATATTTCAAATAAATTAGCTGTAAAGTAGTTACATAGGCTTCATGGACGCAACAAGTGCTTTTACCTTTAATACTTTAAGTATTAGTTCAGTGTTAGTAGCTACTTTAATTTGAGTAACATGTCGAAACAATAATCCACAACTGCCAGAACCAAGCTTTGACTCCAGGTTATTATCAATGACACAGGGAGGTAAACACGTTGCCACTAACTGCAAACCTCAATTGTTAACTAGACGAACGATAGGAAGGCTACGCAGACAGTAGAGACAGGCTACATGTAGCTTAATGTTAGCAATGGCTATCAGGAACAGAGCTAAAGTAGTTGTGTCAACTACGAAGGCTACACCTGACATGATGATAGCAATGGCTAGCATGTTGACAGAGCTGAAGGAGTTATGTAACTAAACCGTGTCCGGCGTTGTTACCTCTGAGAGAACTTAAGCAACTCTCCCTCCAGCTCCTCCTGGATGCCGGTCCTCTTCTTGCTCATATACATGGGCGGCAGTGCGATGTGTCTCCGGTGCGTGTTCATCACCAGGCACGAGTACGGTGCTGACAGCAGCTCCGCGGCGGCGGAGAACGACGGGATTGCGCACGAGAGCGCGCCCCCGTCTCTGCCCGGTGCCGAGGATTCTGCGGCTGGCTGGACTTCAGCGCTACTGGCGCTTATTTTACTGGATATTTTCAAATGTTGTGGGTCGTCTTCTGCATGCTCCAATTTCGCCATGCTGTTTGTGATACCGGAAGAGGAAGGCACGCAATTTCCGCTTTAATGAAGGCTCGAAAGCTGTCAAAATATGCCTTTATATTGCCACCTGGTGGACAGGAGGTGAAATTACAATTGAAAAATATTTTTTTTAAACAACATTCATAGCTTTATTATGACTACTGAATTTGTATGATCAATTACATCATATTTTCATTTCAGTTTTGCATAATGTCATAATAGTTTAGAGTAGCCTACAAATATTAACATAGAACTAGAGAATGCAATTCCTGAAGAAATTGCTAGTGGGAATACTTTATGCTGAAAAGCTGACGCTAAACTGCTATGCTGAAATGTAATGTGTAAGAAGAAAGTGAAGAATTTAGATTGAAATTATACATGAACACTGGGGGCTTGAATGTGTGATGAGAGAAGAAAAGAAAGTAAAAAGGCTTGGAAAAGCAGTAGAATATTTGAACTGCAACCTTTTGAACTAACTTGATGGTGAATGATCTGTCGCCATGCCAACGGCATTTGATGACATCCCATAATATGCTTAGATGCATTGATGGCTGCATCGTTACCAAACCTGTGAAGTTTTGGGCCATTTGGAGCATTTTCACTGAAGTTATGAGAAAACCGTGTTTCATGGCGAGCATTGTGTTGCCATGGCAACGGCATTTGAAGAAATCTCAAAACTGTCCCGTAGATATCTTCTTTATGGCGAGGGATGTGTTTCCATGAAAACGGCATATGATGATAACCCATAATTGACGTAGAGCTGCTCAGGGCAGGACCATTAACCATTATCTGAAGTCTGCTGCTCTGAGCATGTCAGTTGGAGTTATAACATCATCGTGCTCCACTGACACAGGTGTTTATATTTGAGCTGACAGCGGCTTTCATGTTTTCGTGAAGTCTAGAGTCTAAGAACTGACGTAGTGCGAAACTTTTAAAGTGTGGCTATAGTACAATGGCCAAGAAGTTGTTTTGCAAGTGTACATTGTCCAAATAGAGAGTAAGTCATTGTTACCTTTACCGAAAGGAGAGTGGATTAGTGGTACCTGTTGAAGCTAGAG